TCAACATCCCTGGTTGGATCATCAAGCAGATTGACGGCTGAGCGGATGAAACCGTAGCGGGGCACCGTACCAAGGCTCAAGTGCAAGGGAAGACTCCTCCGCAGCTCAAAGTCAGGACTAGGGGGTTTCAGCTCCTCCCCTTGGTCAGACAGGCTGCAGCAACCTGACTGTCGAGGATGTGCATGTACCGGCACTTTCTACACCGGTTCCCGACCTCAGCTTCGCTCCGAGCTCCTCGAGCATCGGATGGTGCTCGTAGTTCTCTCCGGGAAGCTCGACGTACACCGCAGGATCGAGCTCACCGCGAAGAACCCTCTGCCTGAGCACGACGGCTAAGTGAGCCATCTGTCCGAAATTGACTGCATGAGTATCACCCATGGCGAGAGTGTTCAGACACGGCGTCATGAGCTGCCGGGCCGGTCCTTTGGCACAACAGCTTACGCTCTTCGGCTCTTCTCGGATCATATTGCAAGGGCGTTGCGCTGTTGACGCTGCGGCGAAATCAGAAATGCATGGTAGTACTCCCGGAGGTCTTCGCAGTACACTGCGACATCGTGAAAGGGGGCCGGCACACGAGCTTGGGCAAGAGCAAACGCTGCGTACGCCGGCAGCTCGAGGCCGCCGAGGAACAGAGCTAGAAATGCCCCGCCCTGTCGCCGAGCTCGGACGCGTCGTCCCCGGGCTGTTCGGGAATCGTCCTAGCCGCCCTCGCCAACACAAGGCTCGGCGACCCGCGCTTTATGGCAGCAACAACGAAACCACCGCCCGGTGCACTAAAGGCACGGAGGAAGGTTTTACCCTGCCGCCCGCAACAACAGCTCCCCACCGCCTGTAACAACGGCTCTCCGCCGGACGGCCCTGCGCACGGGCATCAGGGCGTCCACCTCCGATGCGGCCGCCCGCCTTTGACAACACAACTTGAACGCACGATCCGGCATGGATGCCCTGGTCGCGCGGCGGCGCCCATAAACCCCTAAACCTCTCCTTGAACCGGTGCCCCCTGCCCGAAAGAAGTTGGCCGTCTACCCTTACAGCCCTGTGAGCCTCCAACCTCGACCCCGGCTCCCGCAGGCTCAGACGGTTCGGGGCGTCAGCGTGAGAGAACGTGCGTGTTACTGTTGCATAATCTCGGAATTCAGCGGGTGCGGTGCTGCGTGGCGGGGGCCGGGCCGAGGCAAGATCGAGGCTGATCCCCAAGTCACAGCAGCGTGTGGTGCGGCCCTGGAAACGATATCGTAGGCGCTACACCCGGCCAACGAAACCACCCATAAACGACCGTCGCGTGCGGATCCGTCTCCCGTCAATGCCGGCCCCCGCATGCATGCAATGTGACGTCCCCACGCTGTGGGAGGTGGACATGAGCCAACGCATAAAGCGCATTAAAGCGCCGGGTGTGCAGTCGTTGCCCTGCGGCGGTGCCATCGAAAACTAAACACTGCAGTAACACTGCAGGTTGCTGATCGCTCAACCGCCACCCCCCCACCCCCTGCATGTCGTCAACGATCTGGCCCGAATGTTTTTTCTTTGGCTAAATGCCTCATCCATCGCTGCCGTTCAGCATGCGAACTCGCGCCCTTACGTGGTTTTTGTTGCTCCACGCAGCTGGCATGGTTTCACCGGCCCCGTTTCAGCGACTGGTGGCGTGGGCGGCGACTCGTTCCTCCGGCGCCGAATCACTCAGCGTGGTGTTGCGTGCCGTCGATGTGCCGGTAGAGGGCCACTCGTACGTTGCTCCTGGACCAAAACGCCGTTTCGGCCATTGGAAACGGATGTTAACTCGCTACGCCAACTTCACCCCTTGCCACCCACCGTGCCGCCGCCTCGTGCTCCAGCCGAGATGCTGCCGCCACAGCCCCCACGCGCGCACCTTGCGCGGAGACGCGCCGGCTCCACGGCCGGGCAGCCGACGTCACCGATTCTGCCGATGAAGAGGCCACCCGCGAGCGGCGAAGAGCGCTCGCGTGCGCTCTGTTGCGCCCGTGGTCCCTCTGCAGCGATCACTCCCGGGACGGACGAGACGTTCGCTGTTTGTGGTTTCTTTGTCCGATCCGGAAACTGCCCTCGCATGTTGATCGTAGCCCAGATGCTCCGTGAAGTTCGTGCCGATGCTCATGATGGTTGGCACGCCATCGGTTGTGATGATTTGTGATGTACGGCTACAATTAAAGTCGCAAACACTCTATTCCAGCTTTGGAAACAGCTCAAATTTTCGAGCACTTAAACACAACACGTCCATGTTCTGCATGTGCTTGCTTCGTTTGCTCAACTCGCTCAGGTAGCTCTGTAAGCATCCTCACTGGGGGTAAAGAGAAAAGCCGACCTCGTAACAATAGTCAGAAAAGAGTGGATTAAAGACACGGGGCGGCCGTAGGAGCAAGGTAGCGAATTCTCACACATGTCAGTTTGCGCATGCATGTTGATTTTGCCAATAGTCATATGCTGCATGAAGCCAAGCATGTCTCAGAAAGCTCCCTGTCAATACTCCGTTTTCTGAGGCAGCAGGTCCCTCGACAGCGTTCGGAGGCATCCAGTTCATGCAAGCCACTCGGATTGAAATGCCGATGCAGCTATTGGAGACGGTGAAAGCAAATGCGCTAGATAGAGCTCTGTTGGATGACGTAAAAGCAGCCCTGATTGAGTGTGCCAGCCGCTTGTACCACCGAAACAGTGCATTAGGCGAAGCAACGTCAAATTTCCACACTGCTTACAACGCTTTGCTTGACAACGTCCAGCGTGTGCAGCAGGCCCATGATGTCCACCACAAAAAAAAACTCAGGATCTTCGGGGGGGAGCTTGAAACAACGCACGAGCAGTTCGCCGAGGTGCGCCAACAGGCCGCTGAGGCGAAAATGGGGCCACAACACTGACTCCGATTGAAGCGCAAATGGTGAAGATCCAAAACTGGCTTCAAGACACGAGCGAAATACATTTCGACCTGCTGTCTCGTGTTGACACGCTGGATGAAAACAATGATGAGAACGAGCGCACTCTCAATGAACTGGTGCAGAAATGGGAACAGTCAGAACAAGAACGTCTTGGATCATCTGACGTACTCACTCAGGTCGATGAACTGTATGCTGCTATGACAGGCCAGGGGCGGCCTCTTCATGAGATTTCCCCAGGATGTTGCGGATCTGCATGCCTCAGTGTCGTTAGTGGAATCGTCAGTGTCTACTGAACAAGTGCCTGTTGTGGGTGAACCTGGGATGGCAGACTGTGAAGCAGAGTGGTGGAATGGTGACGGGTAGGTAGGCAGACTGCCTCAAGAGCCTGTTGATCCACCACCTGGGTTCTCAGATCAGACAGCTTCTGCACCTCCACCGGACGACATTGTTCAAGAGTGAAGCAACAGTGTGCTGGCACACAGATGCATGCTGCGTTCTGGTGGGAGCTATCCAAGAAACGCGTGGAATTGTAAGCGCGCTGCAGTGATTGTCCATGCCCTCCTCCGCGTGCCACAACTCGAAATAGCTCAGAACCTGTATGGCGGTGCAGACTTTGGCTCTGCGGGACAGTTTCAAGATCACCCGCGAAGATTTGATTGCCGGTGTGATATAACATCCATGTACACGCAAGCGCGGGACGACTGGTCAGAAAGCGCATCAGAGAATAATTGCGTTAGTCGCAACGTGACGATGGCTTTTCGATGGATCTTTGCATGGCTCTCCAGCTTTGCTTCGGAATCCATGTGCTTGATGTGCTTGCCGGTGCGAGACGACAGCTACCAATGGGGCTCACCTACTTCTTGCCTTATCAGCTGTATATGCGGAATCCCCAAATGCACGCCCTTTCGAGACGACTCTACAGAATGTGGGACGACTTGATCCGAGGGCATGTAGAATGCTCTAAATAGATGCTCTCTTGGGCGTAGTGGAGAAAAATGAGCTGGTCCGCAAGAGGAAGCGCCAGGTGCCACCCCCTCTCCAAATACCAGTCCAAGATCTTGGCACTTCCAGTAGTTGCGCGCTGCCAGTGCGGTGCACCGCGTATTCCGGAGTGCTCTGAAATCGTAGGTCGGGTCCCAGGGGCGGGTCGACTCTTCGGGGCTCGGCATGCAGAGGCAGCTGCGCTGGCTTGCGCAGATGGCCTGGCATAAGCGGCTGACATCAGCTGATTCAGGTGGGCTGGTGCTTGGGGAGCCACCAACAGCTCCAAGAACATGCAAGGTGGAGAGCCACGTTGCTCCGCACCAGGCGCGGTATAGTGGCCGCTTCCCGAAGCAATGCTCGCCAGTCCCGAATGGGAAATCAGCAATGAAGGCTGCAGGGCCGCTGAAGGAACATGAGTGGCGGACAGTGGCAGCATGCGGTCGGAACACAAGCATGCATCACGTGATGCTGGGCGCATGGCCTTACAGTGAGGAATCGACACGCCGGGTTACTGAAGCGACTGGTCGCACAAGCGGACCGGGCAAGCTCCTGCAAACGCTTCCTCCAATGAGTGGCGGAGGGCATCGCGAAGCCAAGGCGCGCACTGCCAGGCATCAGGGCTGCATGATCGAGTCAGGAGGAACGTCCAGGAAACGGCATCGAAGATGGCGCAATCTTGACACGTCAACAATGCGATCAGGGCACGGCCCCGAAAGCTACAACAGCGGTGCTTGAGACAAGTTCAGACAGAAGAAACTCAAACGCCGACATCCCCAAAAACCCCAAATCGAGGACCGGCCTTATGAACATCCATCGAGGCCCGAGTATCATCCATCTCACATCGCCGCAGCCCGGTTCAGCTCTTTTCTTCGCGGAAGCCACTACATCCTCCCGCTGAAGTGGGCCGGAGCGCCATAAACCTACAGGACAAGCTTCGCAATCGCGATGCTCGCAAAGGAGAAGTCTCCTCAGATACGGCCTGACCAGATCCTGGTATTCAGGACCTTAGACCTCCCTTGATGCACTCGCACACGAACATTCTCTGATAGATGTCTTTGTACATAGGATGCGGTGTCGTTGACACCGCAGTCTCATCGTAAACCTGGCAAGCATCTAAACCCTCAAAAGGCCTCAATGCCATCGCCCACCCAGCCGAGTGTTGCCCATCCGGCCACCGCGTGTCTGCGGCCGCCCCGCCTGGAGGCTGCTTTGCCGCAGCTCTTCTAGCGACTTCTCAAGCCGCACCAGCCTGAAGGCATTGGGCATACCCAAAACACACTCGCTTTGTGGCCGATTTGTGACGAGTACCTATCTTTCCATCCATCTTGTCTATCCTGTCTATTTTTTCCATCAATCGATCGATCGATCTGCCTATGTACATACACACCTGACATACAGACCGACGCACAGACTCACAGACAGACAAACAGACAGCCAGGCAGACAGACAGGCCGACCGAGCGACCCGACCGACAGACCGACATATCGACAGACAGGCAGGCAGAAAGACAGACAGACCAGTCAGAAAGATTGGCATGCGTGCTGATCTGTTTAGACCGGACTGGTAGGTCTCTATGTACTGCAGAAGAGGGCTGAAGGAGTAAAATAAATCCTAAACAGCAAGGCAAAGCTTTGCACACACCTCTCGGCCATGTCTTCCACCATCTGCGCTTGCTCCGCTTCACCAGAGATGCCATATTGCTTGCTTGTCGGTGCACACCACCAAAGGTAGCTGCGACTGCAGACATCTTCATTAGTCCATGGCCGCTCCAGCAGCAGCCCGTTGAACCTGGCTGCTGGGCATTTGCTTCTGTGTGGCAGATGGACATTTGTGTTGTGCGAAGTGCCGGTAAAATCCCTTACTCGTCTGCATGGTCCCACTTTGTTCGAACACCACAAGAACTTCTCCCATCACCTTCTCGCCTAGCATTTAGAGTCTCCTTTCTTGTCCCGATGGTTTGAAAATTCGCAATTCTGCTACAGCCCAGCTCTTCCGTTGGGGTTGGGGCTGACGGGCATTGGACCTCGAAAACCGAAATCTCGATGCAGTCTAAGAAAAATCATGTACGAAGAAATGACGGGAACGCATTGGAAGAGGCGGGGGGACTGAGGATCCGGCAGGTAGAAGGCCAAGGAGAGCAGCACTGCGGGAATGATCGCAGGACAGTCTTCGATAAGAATACATAGAACCCATCCTCCAAATGCCAGAAATGCCAAAACGAAGTAGCCCAGCTTCCACCATTTCCTCTTGTGCCCGCAGCACATGGGCAACCGCAGCTGTACCATGCAGTGCACACAAATCGAGGCCCGTTCTTGGAGGAATAGGTTGGTGGCATGCATGTGGGCTTCGGAGTATGCCCTTCCATGTACAGCGATAAACAGATTCAGCAAACTAATACAGAAGATGATCACTGCAACCATCAAGCTGGCCAGTGTGATGTAGTCCCCGTTACCAGCCTCATCACCACGGTTGCCAAGCTTCAAGACTTGCACGATGCCATCGCCATCCACCATGAACAGCAGCTTCACCGTTCCCACCAGAATTTTATAGGGGCCTTGGAGACCCAGGGCACCAGATTCAGTGTGCAGGGGCAGCAAAGTGCAGCCGGGGCGCCTTCCAGGCCGTTGTCCAGGATCATGAAGGCATGCCAGAATCCGGCAAAAACGAAGCCACCTTAATTCTCATGAGCTCTAACATCGCCCAAGCCTAAACTCCGCAACAGCTCATGCTGAACAGCCAATATGAGAGTGCGCTGTGCTTGCAGCAGAGTTGCAGATGATCCCCATGCCCCCTATCTTCTTGACAGAGTGCAGTATGGGAATAATTCCTTTTACGCCAATCATGCCCAGCTTGAAAGCACGCAGTGCGAAAAGCATCTGGAACCAGCGAACAAAGACCAAGAGAGCAAAAAGCTCCTCCTCTGCATCCAAGTTGAACTGGCCAGAGTACAAAGCCTGTCCAACCACGACATTGAAGATCGAGATGACCGCGACATCCACATAGTTGCCTCCATTTCCAAAATAAGACCCAGGGTTCTGAAGCTGGATGCAGTAGCCGTAGGCTTGGAAGGCTTCTATGTAGGTATCTCGGACAGCGCTTTCAAACATGAAGGTCCAAGAAATGCGGCGCTGCCAGTAAGGGACCTCAGGCAGGAGACACAGAGAACTCAGCTTTTCCTTGCACCCTCGCGGTCAGACTTTCGTTTTGATCCCTTGAAGGCCTGCTTCCCGTTGAAGTCTTGAGACTTGGAGTACGTCCATGCAGAGAGCACAATCAATTCCAGAAGCCGGTGCAGCAGCTGGAGTAAGTACCAGTTCAACACGAAGGCATCCCAACAGTATGTCAGGGTTGCAGTGACGGCGGGATTTCTGAAAATCTCGACATACTTGGTCTCACTGAGTGCCTGCAACACCTCGGGGCAGACAATGCCCCTCAATCGTAGTTGCCGCATGTGCACGGGCTGCAAGTCGCGCGAGTCCACAAACTTCGGCTGGTTCGTCCGGGGGTTCGGCTGGCGCATCACAAACTTCGAGATGCGATTGGAAGGGGCGTGCGAAATCCGCCGTCCTTTCCGCACGGCACGGGCCCCAGGGGCCAGGCGATCATGCCAGGCGGGCCAAGCCTTGGTTTTGTCACCCGTTTCAGTGTCGCATTTCCAGCTGTCGTCCGTGTTGTAGTCTGCCCGGAGCTCCTGCAGAGAAAAAAACTCCTCTTTTTGCCCGACTCTAAGCGTGAGAAGGATGCAGAAAGGAGCTCCGGATTACGCTGCGGGGACCCGCTGGGCTCATGCTCGGTCCTTGAGGATGGCCTGGTTGGGCAAGGGATGGTAGTAGACGCTGTCCTCGTCGGGCTCTACGGTCAGGATTTCCAGCAGATAGTCCGCCGCATCTGGCGTGTTGTCCAGAAGCGCTATCCAGTGCTCGACCGTCAGGTTTTCCTCCGTCTGCAGCTCATCTGCGACGTTGGTCTTGTGCGCCACTTGGTCTGCGGACTCTGCACCAGCGTAGTCGCACAAAAGATTCCGAATGAACTCCGTGGTGGCACTGGGGCAATGCTCGGATACGATCATAATGTCTCCGATGCGAAACCTCGCCAGAAGATGAAGCCGACGCTGAGGAAAGACCCCGGACTCCACCGCCACCTGCCAAAAGCTGCATTGGAACAGGCTGCCACGATCTTCCACAAGCAAGCGAATTCGGCTGACCTAACCCTAAACCCTAAACCCCTGAACTCTAAGCCCTAAACCCTAAACCTTTTTTCTAGCTCTTGCGAAGGTCTTGGTGTGAAGTTGGCTGCTGATTGGTTTGTGTCACGATCTCGGCCCAGGATGCCTCTAAAGTCCCTACAGCGTAGAATGAGCCCGAAAGTCCCACAAAGGACAAAGCCGAAAGCATTGCTGAAGCCCTGAACCCAAACCGCCTGAACCCTCTACAATATAATCGTATACAAAAACATATACATATATACATATATACATATATACATATATACATATATATATATATGTATGTATGTATGTATGTATGTATGTATGTATGTATGTATATTTATGTATTTACTTAGAATATACACATATATATATATATAACTACTTCAGCCTCCAGCGCGCTCCGCTGGCTCTCGTCCCTGAGCTCCGTGTCGGCCTCGTGGCGAACTAAGACCTCCGCCACCTCCGAAGCCCCCATCCTCAGCATATACATATACATATACATATACATAGACATATCCTTTATTTGGTTATTTACAAAACCTAAGCGCATACACATGTGTGTATATATATAATAAACATAAATGCATATACACATACACACACACACAAAAACACATACATATATATATATATATACATACATATATACATATATACATATATACATATGTACATATCTACATATCTACATATATACATATAT